TCTGATGTCAGCCTGATTGGTTTTCCTTTATAGGTTATTTGTTTCTTCCCTCTTGTCAATCTCATCATTTTTTTCTTTGTCTTGGATTCTTGGGAGCTTTACTATGATGTGTCTTGCTGTATTTCTCCTTTCATCATGGCAGTTTGGTGTTCTCACTTGTATGTTCATTTTCATCTTCTTCATAATAGGGAAATTCTCTTCAATTGTCTCTATGAATATTTTCTCGATTCCTTGGCCTTTCTCCTCACCTTCTGGGAGACCTATGACTCTGATATTTCCTTTCCTCATGGTGTCAGATAGCTCTAGGAGTGTTTCTTCATTCCTTTTCCTTTTTAATCCTCTTTCCTTTTCTGTTTTGATTCTCTTTATTTCTGTGTCTTCAAGGTTGCTGATTCATTCTTCCATTTCATCAATTCTGCTTTTCCCAGAATTCTTTAGCTCCTCCAATAGTCTCTTAATCTTCTACATTCCTTTTATTTCCTTTTCTAAGCTCTCGTTTTCATTCTTCAGTTCATTGATTATTTGTTCCATATATTTTTTTTTCCTTTTCATCTTCTTTATGTTTGTTAATCATAATTCTAAAATCTCTGTCTGACAGGATGAGCAGTTCGTTTATATCTTTGTTGATTTCTGGTGATTGATCTTTCTGTGGTGAATTTTCCCCAGTGGGCTTGCTTGGGTACTTGTGTTTTTTCTTCTCCCGTCATTCGTTTCCTAATGCTTTCTATGTGTTAAGACACTGTGTTGCTAGTATTGGCTGGCATTTCTTCTGGGTGCTCCTGTGGTGGCTGAGGACTGGTACTCAGACCAGGTCAAAGACTAATGCACCAATCCTCCACAAGGGCGATGGTGGTGAGTCTGAGTGCCATATCTGGTAACACCCTCCCTCTGTGTTTCCACTGTTCTAACGGGGGAGGGTGGTGAGATTCCTAGCTTGTGATTGTGACTGGGGGATGCACATTCTTGTTGGCATTGATCTCTCTGTTGCCTGATTTCATAGAGGGGCTTTGTGCTTTTGTTGGCAGTGGCTCCACCCCTGGCCTGGTTTCCAATTTGTATAAGGTACTATGTGCTAATAGTGGCAGCTTTGCCACTGTCCAACTTGTAGTTATGACCAGGGCTGTGTGCTGCCCGTTACTGCAGGGTATCCCTGCCTGTTCCAGCAAGCTGCAGCCACGCCCTGCTGTTCTTCCAGCTAATGGCTGGGAGTTGAGTGCAGGCTGTCAAACCCTGCCTGCCACCTGAGGTCCAGGCGCCCCATTCACTGCAGAGTCCTGCCTGTTTCAGCAGCAAAGGAGCACCTTGGCCAAGGCTGACGCTGGGTGTTGTGGGCTGGCTTCCACTCCCTGCCTGGCTGCCACTGTGAGAGAATCACCTGCTCAAGGCAGGAGCGCTGCTGCCCTGCCTCCGGCTGTGTCAGGGAACAGGGTGATCATGCGGGCTGTGGGCAGGCTCCTGCCCTGCCCCCAGAGATGACCAGAAGGCTGTCTTATCCTTCCCACAGGTCTCACCCCCATGGGTCTGCAGTAGTCCCGCTCCCCTCCACACAAATCAACCTGCTGACCTTTGTTTCTCCCCCTGGGGCTTTCAGATGTTTCAGCTTTCCCCAGTTGCTTTCAGGTTTTTCCTCCTCCTTTTCTTTCCTTGGTCAAGGTGTTCCATGTTTGTAGGTGGGGATGTAGATATTGACCTGGGCCTGGTCAGTATCTCCCACATGTTTCTTTTTCTGTTTCTTTCACCTTCCTCCTGCCTCCCCTGGTTGGTCAATCCTGTTCAAAACTTCTGAGTCTTGGCTGGAGTTTGTTATAGTTTCTCTTATTTACTATAACCAGGAGAGCACTTAATCCCAGCGACTCTTTGTGGCCATATTGATGACATCCCCCGCTGGCACACTTTGCCCTTTTCCTTTCCCCCCTCTCCAAGTCACTGCTGGAGTCCTGGCCTATTTCTGGAATTGATGAATGAGAGAAAAAGAAAACTATCTTGTTTAACTCACAGTATGGATTTTCTTTGTGTCCCCAGACAGTCTGGTTTTCTACCATTTGCTTTTTTTTTTTTTTTTTGCATTAAACAAAAAAGGTCATTGTTTTACATTCCTGTTCATTCTGTGACTTCTGTGACGGTGTAAGACTTCTCCACTTAGGGCCCTCCTTGGTAGAGCAATGGATTAAAGCACAGCACTTGGAAGCTAGCTGCAGCAGCTTCAACAAGTTTGATCCCCAGCCAGGGAGCTGACCCACATGGTGCTGCAGACCTCTCCTGTCTCGCCTGCTGGCCCCCTCAGCAGTTTATTTCACCAATCTGTCTGTTGTGCTTCCCACTCTGTCTCTGGTGAATCTTCTCACCCCTCTCCCGCACCACTGACCTATACCCCAGCTCTGTATACATACATAAATAAAATCTTTAAAAAATAAAAATATAATAAAAAGAAAAAATATTTCTCCACTGAGCCATGCTCACTGGTAGCTCTCCCACTATCAGAACACCCATAATCTTCCACCATCGTCCATTGTGCTCTCCCTGCTTCCACATTCTCACCCCTCTCATCCTGGATGACTCGGATCTTTGATCAGCTTTCAAGAGCTGGTTTGAAAGTTTGTCTTTGTCTTGTCTTAAACATTTTCTATCCTCTTCCTGCTATGATAAGTGAAATCTACATTACTACCATTCCAAAAAGAATTCCATCATAATTTGGTTCCTCATACCTTTATGTTCTGACAGTTCAACTAACTGCAATTAGTATTTCATTGACACTACTATCCTTCTTTTCCCGTAGTCTCCTTCCCTGTGCCCCTTTTTTTTCTACCTTTTCCTTTACATTTTTATTTCTTTTGTTTATATCCCTTGATTGCTACCATCCATTTTATCAGAAGATGAATTTATGCCACTTGAATGCTAGTCCAGCTGAGTATAGAATTCGAGGTTGCAGGGGCCTCCCAGGTGGCCTGGGGGTTAAGTCTCTGCTCTATAATTGCTAAGGCCTGAGTTCCATCCCAGCCAGAGAGCCAAGCCACATGCACAGCAAAACTGCTCCTGTCTTGCCTGCTGCTCCCCTCAGCAGTGTTCCTCAGTCAGCCTGTTCTGATCCCCACTCTGTTTCTGGTGAATCCTCGCACCTCCCACAACTCTGGCTTGCACCCCAGTTTTCCTACACAAAAATAAAATTAACAAAAAAGAATTTAAGGTTGCAGGTGATCTTCCCATGTACATTTAATTATGTTGATTCATTGTTTTCCTGAATCTGATGCTATTGATAAAAATCCTGATGTTAATCTGTTGTTCATTCTTTTATAATGACACATCTATCCTCTACTGCTGCTTTCAGGCCTTTTTTTTTTTTTTTTTTGATCCAGGATGTACTAAAATTTTATTTCACTGTGTCCAAGTACAGGGAGTTCAGTTACTATATGCCTCATTACCATCACTGGCCCACGCAAGTGCCCTCTCTAGTTTTATTTATGCATTTATGCTTTTCTCCATTCCTGCCCCCACTGCAGGTGATCATTATAATGTGTTTGATGTGCAGCCTTTGGTTTTTGTGAATTTTTATAAAACGTGTGTTATATATTTGTGTGTATGTTTTAAATGGTACCAGGCTGAAGACTTGATTCTGTTTCTTCATTTTTCACTCAGCATGATATATTTTCTAAATAATATGTTTATTTTTACATCATTTTGTGCTTTTTCCCAGCTCAGTTGTAATCCCCGTGGGCTTCCCATCACGAAATCACCCATGTGCCATCACCGTGGTCCAGTGCACTTCCCTGTGCTCCCCCACTTTTGATCCCATTCCCCACTCCACCCCCATAAAATGTCTCTGGTATATAGTTGTTCATTATTATTTTTCCCCTGGTCCTTTATCAGCATGATCTTTTAAACACATGCCCATCTTGCTGTGTATGTATCCAGTCTGATTTTGCATAATTCTATTTTTATGCCTAGTGTTGCATGTAAATTTAGAAATTTTTACAATTTCACAGAATCTTTCAATTTAAGACATATTATACATCTTTGCACTTTTTCAGTTGTCTTGAATTCTCAAGGGTGATATTTGATCTCTGGAACCCTCCTCTTTTCTTTGTATTTCTCTTGGTGTCTTATTTATTTATTTATTTATTTATTTATTTCCAGTTCTGAACTGGATTGATCATTCTCTAGGTATCTTGCTGAAATCTTCTTCTTGAGGAACACTGTGTCCTGACTTTAATGTCTTCCTTATTCTTGGCTTAATCACTTATTTTGATGTAGCATGCTTTCAAGTTCCTTTATTGTCATCTGGTCTCTGATGTGACTTGGGAAATCTGAAACCTGTGTATTTCTTTTCCCTTTGTTGAACTTCTTTTCTTTTTTTTTTTTTCTTAAAGATTTATTTATTTATTCGTACAGAACTGGGGTACAGGCCAGAGATGCAGAGGGTGAGAGGATTCACCAGAGACAGAGTTGGGAGCAGAACAGGCAGATCAACTAATTACACTGCTGAGGGAGCAGCGGGCGGGCCAGGAGAGGTCTGCCGCGCCATGTGGTCACCTGCGGGGCAGGCGGGTATCGAACTCATGCAGAAGTGGCTTTAGCTTCTTTATGCTGTGCTTTAACCCGCTGTGCCACCAGGGAGGGCCCCGAACTTCTTTTCTTTTTAACCTCTCTGGAGGCTCTTAAGATACTCATTTTCACTCTGATGTTTTATAATTTCATCAAAACATATCTAAGTGTCATGTGCTGTATACTCAGTGAACCTTTTCCAAGTAAAAATTGGAAAGCTCTCTTGCATTACTTATATGGTAATTTCCTTCTCTCCCATTCCTCCATTTCCTTTCTGGAAGTCCCACTATCAGGGTTTGGAATCTCCTCCAACTGATGTTTTACAATTCTCTCATAAGGTTTTTGTTTTGTTGCTGTTAGTATTTGTTTGGAGTTAGGTTATTATCTTTTACTTTACCTGCAGGTTAGCACTTTATTATCTTTTACTTTACCTGCAGCTTAGCATTTGGAAAAGTGATTACCTTGAAAGTTATGACCTCCATGCCCAGGATCTTGGAATAAAACATGGTTGTGTCTTTAATGCTCTTTACTGTCATCACGATGTGGTCAAGTCTGTGGATGAGACATGGGGAAAGGGTCTGACTGCTGTCACTCCTTAACTAAAAAAAAAAAAAATTAAAAGAAAGATCAGAAGAGACCACACATGTTTCATATGCAAGTTTCCTGTTTCCTTCTTCTCACCTTCCCAGTACTATACTTATTCCTTACCATCATTCCAGAAGGAAACTTCAGCGGAGTAATTTCTTTAGAAAGATGTATTTATTTATGTGTAGAAAAACTGGGGTGTAGGCCAGAGGTGTGGGGGTTGAGAGACAAAGTGGGGAGCAGAACAGGAGGATCTACTGAAATACACTGCCGAGAGGAGCAGCAGGAGGGTCAGGAGAGGTCTGCTGTGCCACGTGGGTCAGCTCACAGGCCAGGGATCCAACTCAGGCCTTGGTAGCTGTCAATAGCTTGATAGTGCTGAGACTTAACCCTTGCACCACTAGGGAGGCCTACTCTTTGTCCTCATTTCTGATTCTAGTTGTTTCTCTTAGTGTCTTTGCTCTTTCTCCTTGGGTGTTTTCTCCTTATTTTTTTTAAAGATTTATTTATTTACACATAAAAGAACTGGGGTAGAGGCCAGAGGTTCTGGGGTTGAGAGGATTCATCAGAGACAGAATGGGGAGCCCAACGGGTGTATCTACTGAAATACACTGCTGAGGGGTGCAGGGGGGCTGGGCAAGACAGGAGAGGTTTGCCATGCCATGTGGTCAGCTCCTCACATTGCAGTGGCTGCGGATAGCTTCATTGTGCTGTGCTTTAACCCTTTGTGCCACCAGGGAGGGCTCCCTTCAGTGGAGTCTTATTGTCCATGTGTGGATTCACAAAAGTCCATGTGTCTGCTATGACAGTTTACTTGTTCTTGTTCTCTTTCTAGAAGGATGGAGGCAAAGATTAGGGGAGTGGAGACCAAGACCAACCCTTTCTCCTCCCACAAGTAGTTCTTGTTTTCTCCAAGCTGGATACCTCTCGCTCTCTTTTTTTAAAGATGTATTTTATTTATTCATGCATACCAGAGCTGAGGTGTAAGCCAGAGGTGTGGGGGTGAATGCATTCACCAGAGACAGAGTGGGGAGCAAAACAGGCAGACTGACTGAAATCCACTGCCAAGGGGACAGCAGGCGAGAAAAGAGAGATCTGTTGCACCATGTGGATCAGCTCCTTGGCTGGGATCAGATTCAGGCCTTAGTGGTTACAAACTGAGACTTAACCCCTATGCCACTGAATTCATCTGTTTCATAAGAAGTGACAAGACACACAGAGGAGGTCCATCCCTGCAAGTACAGCCCTCCATTGGCCAGTTAACCCAGTCCTCTTCACTCCCTCTCTTCAGCCATGATCACAGAGGATAGGAGAAGAAGGGAGGGTCTCAGAGCTGTGCACGTGTGTTTCGAGTCCATCCTGGCACGAAATGGGACAGTACTTCTCCCTCTCTTACTTCTCACCCTGGGTATACTTCCCATCAAATCTTTCTCTTGACTTGTGTTCTTTAATAATTTACATATTTATGTTACATCTGTTGTACGACTATAAGGTGCTATAGTCTGGCACTATAGATTGCAGGGTATAGTAGTTAAAAAAAAAACAATGTCAGGAGCCTTCCCTGGTGGTGCAAAGGGTAAAAGCGCAGCACTATGAAGCTAGCAGCAGCTGCTTCAGCTCAAGTTCGATCCCTGGCCAGGGAGCTGACCCACACGGGGCAGTAGACTTCTTCGTTCTCACCCGCTGCTCCCCTGAGCAGTGTATTTCAGTCAATCTACCTGTTCTGCTCCCCACTCTGTCTCAGGTGAATCCTCTCACCGCCCCTGCACCTCTGGCATGTACCTCAGTTCTGTAAGCATAAATAAATAAATCTTAAAAAAAAAACCTCACAAAGTCAGAAGTCTTCCTGGTAGAATATGGGGTTAAAGCACAGCACTATGAAGCAATCCACAGCCACTACACTGCAGCACAAGTTAGATCCCCGGCCAGGGAGCTGACCCACATGATGCAGCAGACCCCTCCTGTCTCGCCTGCTGCTCCCCTCAGCAGTGGATTTCAGTCCACTTGCCTGTTCTGCTCCCCACGCTGTCTCTGGTGAATCTTCTCACCCCACCCCACACCCCAGCTCTTGTATGCATTATTATAATTAAAAACCCTAGTTAGTCTGAAATCAGACCAACATTTAATCTCTCTGTTTTGATTTCCCTGCTATAAAATGAGCATATTTTGTAAGACTGTTACTAACATTTTTAAAAAAGAGTTGTATTTTTTAGGGCTTAGAACAATGCCTGGCACATAACCAGTGCTATGGAGTTGATGATAATGATGCTGCTGACATCGTCATCTTGTTAAAATCCAGATTGCCCACCGTGACTCCCAGTGTCCACAGCTCTTCCATTGCATTTGAACTCCAAGTCACATTGTCCTTTTGACTGTTCCTCATGAAGTCCATTTTTGTGTCTTTAGCTTCAGAGTCTTTTGCACATGCCAGTATCTATGTCCCTGACTTCACTGGAGTAGAGATTTCTGTTTTGTTCTCCACAGTATCCTTAATAACTAGCACAAGTTCAACAGTATTTATCTATCTATTACAATAGTTAGTTCCAGTGTCTGGCATAAAGTCTGACTTCTATTTGTTCTATTCTGTTCTGTTCTAGTCTAGTTTATTTCTGCTCTACATAAATCCATTCAATTCCACCTTATGCTATTTTATCCCACTCCACTCCACTGTGTCCCATTGAAACCACTACACTTTATGCAAGTGATTTCACTGAACTCCAGCTTAAAAAATACAGTGATGGCCCTCCCTGGTGGCGCAGCGGGTTATAGCACTGCACTGAGAAGCTAAAGCCACTTCTGCATGAGTTCGATACCCGCCTGCCCCGGAGGTGACCATATGGCGCGGCAGACGTCTCCTGACCCGCCCGCTGCTTCCCTCAGCAGTGTACTTCGTCGATCTGCCTGTTCTGCTCCCCACTCTGTCTCTGGTGAAGCCTCTCACCACCCCTGAGCCTCTGGTCTGTACACCACTTCTGTATGTACAAATAAATAAATCTTAAAAAAAAATACAGTGATATCTTAATTTTCATGAGCATAGGAGGCATTATCAAATTTTCTGAGTTTTTCTATTGTCACATACCCAGAGTCTACAGAGACACAGGAACTGTAGAATAAGAAAATGACTGACATTTGGTCTCCATTGAAATAAAGTTGTATGTTAAAAAAAAAACTTACTCACCTTTTAATATCTCTAGGATCTGTAATAGCATCCCTTTTCAATCCTGGTGTCAGTAATTTATTTTTTTCTCTTATTTTCTTGAGAAAAAACAAAGTACTAATTTTTATTCTGTACAAAGGACAACTTTGGACACTGTTGATTTGCTTTTTCCTCCAGCAGTTTCTGCTGTTATCTTTACAAATTCCTTCCTTTTACTTCTTAGGGTTCAATTTTCTGTTCCTTTTCCAGTTTCACAATATGGAAGCTCAGGACACTGATTTTCAGGTTTTCTAATTCACACATTTACAACTATAAGGTTTTCCCGAGGCATGCTTTGACTGCATCATCCAATTTTGATAGTCTATTGGAAATCTACCCAACTTATTCATCCTATAATTCAGCGCCCTGTCAGCTCTGATTCATACCCCAAATTCCATTTTTTCAGATGGAGAGCTTCATCTTTAAAAATTAAAAAGTGAGCAGGGCTGGCTTTCTAAAGGAAGGGGAAGAAGATCAGTGTGGTTTAGTGAGAGTGAATGAAGCATAAGCAGGAAAAGAAGGCAAAGCTCAGATCACGCAAGGTTGTTGAAACAAGGTTAGGGAGGCTGGTTTGTAAAAGATGATCAAGGCAGAGCAATCATATAAAGCTTACTGCGTTCCAAGTCTTGTAGTAAGCACTATACAAAATATAGCCCATTTTTTCTCTCTCCAAACTTCCTCCCCTCCCCTAGGCATTTGAGCAGGGTCTTTTGTGTCCCTCTGCTGCCCTCTACTTGTCTTTAAAAAGAGGAAGAAAGAGTGGAAGGCAGAAAAATGGATGTCAGCACACCAGGAGAGCCCGCAGAGAAGGGAATCAGGTTACCAGGCCCAGACTGGGGGATGCCCAGCCTTGGTTTCAACACCCATGCCCCGTGTCCCTGGGACTAACCCCTTTCACCTGCTTTTCTGAAGTCCTGCTCCACATCCTGGCTGGAGGCCTGAAGGGCAGACAGCACAGCATGGAAGGCCAGGTGTCCTTGGCCCGGCCTCCAGACAACTCTCTGGCTCAGCGCCTGGAGATCAAGGGGCAAGAATGGGAGGGACACGTGCTCACAACTGCTGGTCGTGACAGCACAAGTACAAGGACGTGGCACAAAACTCAGGGCCTCTAATGTAAAGGTTGAAGGTGTGTCTTGGCCCGCCCGGGCTACCATAGCTGAGTATCGTGAAGCAGGGGATCTAGATAGCAGCAGTTTATTTCTCACAGTTCTGGAGGTTGGAAGTCAGAGGTCAGTTAAGTGGGTCTGATGGTGGCTCTGCTGTGTCTTCACATGATGGAGCAAAAGTGGAAGTTCTCCATTCTCTTCTTTCAAGAGACCCATTCGCACAATCTCATCTAACCCTAGTCACTTCGCAAAGACCCACCGTCTAATACCATCCCATTGGGGATTAGGGCTTTACCATGTGGATTGGGGTGGTGGGTCACAAACATTCGGTCCATGGCAAGGGATTACTTGGTAAGAACAAAAAAGATCACCCATCCCGAAGTTTGGGAGGATGCATTATTCTAGAGCATGAGGTCCCTGGCCTATTGAGGAGTGGGTCTCCAGAGCGTGAGATCTCTCATCTGTTTGGGAGTCTGGGTCCTGGTGTGACCTTAGCAGCTGTCAGAATTAGGGTATGACCAGTTGGGGTATGGCCACTCTGACTTATTATGAGTCTGTTTCCCAGCCAAGATCTCTAAGCTCATAGGTATTCTGTGTCCCAAGGTGCAATGTTTCCCAATTCTTTGGGGATGTGAGCTCCGCCCTCTTCCCCACTCCCACTCATCCCTCACCCCCCTCCCTCACCCTCAGCTGCTGGGGGTTATGGAACATCCAACAGCACCACTACTGTGCCTCTTATCCTGAGGTGACCCCCTCTCTCTTGAGGGTTACTGTCTAGCCTCTGGGGCATGTGATATTGTGGTTCTTGTTCCTAGAGACATACCCACAGACAGACACACAAATGCTCTAGCCCAGTCGTGTTGTTTCTAACATGAACTTTCTTTATAAAGAGTTCCTGGATGGGGAGCCAGTAATAAGGGGGCCGGGTGGGCGCTGAAGGGCAGCGGGGACTGTAGGGGCTGACATGAAGGTAGGTAGTCCAGATAATGTGAGGATCCACTTGGCACCCTAGAGTTGACATAAGGATCATTTTAAACTGAAGGCATTTGAGATTCTAGAGAAGCATAAAAAAGGGCCTTTTCAAAGTTCCCTTATCTGTCTAGAAGCAGCAACTTCTGGGAAATGAAGGTGCCATAAATCTCCTTTATGGCCTGTAGGACACAAATATCGCTCACAGCTGTATAAATAAACATAGTCACAAATTTTCTAATCTCTAATCCGTTTGGTGTTGTTTTTGGAGTTTGGGGTTCTTGGGTTCACCCTGAGAAAGGTTTCCCCAGAGTTCCCCTTTCAGCAGCATGCGGCAAGTTCCCAGGCAAGTTTCTCCATGAGACAGAGCCTCAGTTATATTTAAAGAGCAGGTTTATTAGGAGCAGGGACAGAGAAGGACACTTGCATAGATGCAAGTGGGCAGGGAGAGCTGCCCCGAAAGGGACAGGTTTGCTGAGAGAGGCCTATGTGGTTGCAGGCAGGTGGCCTTAGGAGAGCGGCCTCCCCTGAGTGAGGTCAGTGCAGAGAAGTCCCAGCATGGTGCAGGTCACGGACAGGCAGGAGGCTGCTGCCCTGCAGAGGGAGAGAGTGGGTGGAAGGAAGCATCTGCGTGGTCACAGGTGGGCAGAGGACTGCAGCCCTGGCCAGTGCAGAGACTGCCCTGATAGAGTCCTTTTCACTTGGAGAGGGGATCACTCCTTTGTGGAGTGGCTCCTTTGCTGCTGATTTTCCATAACTATGTGGAATCCTAAAGGGGAGGGAGATTTCACAATGGGCCCAATCTCTGTATCTTTACCCTCAGGTCTGTGCTTCAGACATTCCCTGCAGCTGTCTGATATAGGAGTCTCTAGGGCTGGGGTAATGGTCATGTTAATTCCTTCTGCCCCCACCCCCTTGCATGAGTCAGATTCCAACCTTGTGATGTCTCCTTCAAGCTTTCTATCCTTTTCCTCCATGATTCCCCACCACCATCACCACTATATCCCGCCCAAAAGTCTTTTGGGGAGTTGAAGGGAGTCCATTTTCTGTAGCGCTTTTTGCTGGAGTGGGATGTAGACCGAACTCCAAAAATGACATCACCTTTGAAGGGTCACCGGAGAGGCACATGGGTTCCTGGGAACCTAGGGAGGTGGGGAAGGGCTCCTTGAAACTTGTCCTTGCCTTCATCTTCCCATACCCGGAAACAACCAGCATTTTCCTCCCACCTTGGCCCAGCTGCACCCAGCCCCTCTATCCCACATACCTGACTTAATCCCAAAGAAGCCCTTAAAAACCCCCATACGGGAAGGAAGCGCACTGGACTATGGTGATGGCACATGGATGGTTTGGTGACGGGAAGCCCACAGGGATTACAACTGAGATGGAAAAAGGCACAAAATGATGTAAAAATAAACTATTATATTATTATTTTTTAAAAGGCTTTCCACTAAAAAAGCAAAAACAAACAAACAAAAAACAACCCAGACGCTGGGCTGGGCACAACTTCTCCGACTCCCCTGGGCTCTTTTCTGTTCCTCATCCTTGTGCGGCCACTCCTCCTGCTGTTACTCCTTTCAAACTTCACCTAAAAAGCCATTTACTTTTTTTTTTTTTAAGATTTATTTATTTGTGCATACAGAACTGGGGTACAGGCCAGAGGCTCAGGGGCAGTGAGAGGCTTCACCAGAGACAGAGCGGGGAGCAGAACAGGCAGATCGACGAAGTACACTGCTGAGGGGAGCAGCGGGCTGGTCAGGAGAGGTCTGCCGCGCCATGTGGTCACCTCCGGGGCAGGCGGGTATCGAACTCATGCAGAAATGGCTTTAGCTAGCTTTCACTTGCTGCGCCACCAGGGAGGGCCACCATTTACCTTTTCTAAAGAAACATTTGTTTTCCCATTGTAGCCTTTTCTCCCACCATCTCTTTCCCTAAATTTTAAATGTTTTCCCAAGATTAGAAGTCTTTAATGCTAGTATTTAAGGAGCCACCTACTTCTCAGTTGGCTCCATAGGCTGTATGAAATGAATCTTTTTCTCTTGTTAATCAGACTTTTGTCAGTTTAATTTGCAGGCCTCAAGGGGGTATGGGAAATGGTTCTTTTCCTGGCCTATAGTTAGGACCAAACTCAGAATGTCCTACTGTAACCTTTCAGGTTAATATCCATGGTAAGTGTGATGCCAGGATCAGAAGCAGCCAGAAAGCTGCATAGACACTGGACCTGCAATTAGCCAAGGGTGATAAAGGAGTTGCCCTTATTCTCCATTCACAACACCCCTCGCTTCCTCCAGGATACCCACTGCTTTAGCATCATCCTACCGGGTTTGGTGACTTCTTCCAGGCGGGGAGAGTCACATCTGAATGATACCGCAAAGCATGCTGTGAGCTCTGAGGTGCTGGAAGGAGTCTGCTCACTGGGGATGATGCTCTTCCACTGTCACCCGCCCCCCACCCCGCTGCTCTCCGGCCTCCTCCAACCTGGCTCACTGGGCTCCAGCCACTGGCAGTTCCCAGCTCCCACCAAGCACAGGCCCACTTCAGAACAGCAACAGATGGCTGGTGTTCCCTCTGTCTTGTTCACTGTTCTCTTAGGTTTTCACATGGCTTGTTTTGAATCTTTTAGGTCTCTGTAGAAATAGCCCATGAAGCTCACCCCTGCCTACCCAATCTGAATGAATGAATACACAGATGCATTCATTTCCCCCAAACAGTGGTTCATTTGAACTGTACCTCGAGGTTTTTCTTAAAGAAAATAAAAAATCCCGTGTTTCAACTAAATAAACCCAGGGACTTCTTAAATTCAACCTCAACATTGACTTCTTAAATTCAACCTCAACATTGACTTCAAGAATGCTTTTGAAATGGATGGTATCTGGCGAGTAGATTGCCCTCTCCCTTCCTGGAGAGCATGTATTCACTCCACAGAAGAGAGCTGGAGAAGCATTTGCTCTAACGGTGAAAACATGCGCACAGCAAAGAGAGTGAAGGTCAAAAAAGATAAGATTTTGTTTAATTATAACTTCTTGGTATTAAAAAAAATCAGTTCTTTTCGAAAATTCTAGTTTACTTCCCCCCCCCCCCTGCTTGCAGGTGTTCCCAGAGGTTTCCATACTTTTGGAGATTATCAGTGGATTTCAGCTCACACTATAGTGGGGGCAAGAATAGAAGCTGGGAAGCTTATTAGCATTTTGCTCCCTTCCTAAGACAATTCCCTCAAGCAGCAAAAGCTATCAGGTCAGCACAAAGGGTTTTTAGCAGCCCAGTGGGGGGCAAGGGCAGAGGCATTCAACCATTTCAAGAGGAGGTGTTGTGTTTGCTCCCAGCTTTCCCAAATTTTCCCCTAAAACTTTACTTCCTATGCTTTTGAGAGGGGGAGGGGAGCTTGGGGCTGCCACTCCACGACCCTAAATTTGCATTCACTTCTGCTTCCATCCATTGGTTTAGCTACTCCCTTTTTTACTCCCCAGATGTTTTGATCACCCACTTAGAGCCAGGCAGGGAGCTAAATGCTCAGGAGAGCTCCAAACAGGATATCAACATGTAGACTGGGAGGTGGGCCCCCAAATGTTTAATGTTAAGAGGGAACAGGGGGACCTAAGGGGGACTGTGGAAGAGAGGATGAGGGAGTACTGGCACTATTGGCATGGGTGGTTCGGTGGGGGAGGGGTGAGTGGAACATGTGCACAAATGAAAGAGCAAAAATATAACCCCCAAAGGAAAATTTAGGAAATCCAAATCAGGGCCCTCCCGGTGGCTCAGCGGGTTAAAGCGCAGCACTATGAAGCTATCCAAAGCCACTGCAGCACAAGTTAGATTCCTGGCCAGGGGGGTGACCCATATGGCCAGCACACCTCTCCTGACCTGCCAGCTGCTCCCCCAGCAATTCTGTTCCCCACTCTGTCTCTGGTGAATCTTCTCA